TAGGGCAGGCATGTCCAAAGTCCGGCCCGCGGGCCAATTGCGGCCCATGTTCCGTTTTAATACGGCCCCACAGGTAATTTGGCAATATCTATCTTTTATGGCCCCCAACGAATCCATATGTATTGAGATGAATACATTGTAAAATCTCAGTTAATGTCAGTTGGTCTAAATCAGTTATAAATATATTTGGACACAACATGTATACTTGGTGTTATGTTCCTGTTCATATTTTTTGAACTTAAAAGTTGACAGACAACCTTTATTACCAATAATATGTAATGTACTTTACAATGTTCCTGACATATATTTCAGCTTCCTGGATTTTTTTTTCATCTGGCCTTTAGATATGAAAGGCAGAGTGATTTAACACCTGTTTAGATTTGTCATCCATGTGACGAAATGAAAAGTATGCCGTTTGCAATAAAACTTTGCATAAAATAGTTAATTTGCATTTAATTGTAATGGTTCAAAGAATGTCAGGCAAAATGGTCGGCCCTCACGCATGTTCACTTCTTCAAATCTGGCCCTCTTTGAAAAAAGTTTGGACACCCCTGAGCCAGGGGGTAGGAATAGTGTTCCTGGCCTCTGTTTGTGAAGGCTGGAGATGGATGGCACGAGACAAATCTCTTGGTCATTGTCTTCGGTCCATACGCTCCGGGGTACCTGGTGCTGGCCACTGTCGGCAGACAGGCTACTGGGATAGATTGACCTTTTGTCTGACCCAGTATGGCTGTTCTTATGTTCTTATGTTCTAAGCTCATGGTTCTGGGTCGGGGGTCTCACTGGACCAACTTGATTTTCATGCAAACCTGCTCCTGGGTTTGCATGTGGCCTTTGGTGGCCAGGCTGGCAGCTCTCCTGCCTTAGATGGCTGCTTTCCTGTGGCTAGTGCGGAGATTGTGGATGTTGGAGGCCTCCCCCCAAACCTCGATAAGGTCCATAATCTCCGCACTAGACCAGGCGGGCGCCCACCTCTTACGGCCCCGGGCAGGCTCTTGTGAGCTGCCAGCCTGGTCCTGGAAAGAGGCGCAGGGTTGGGTGGCAGCGGGTGGCTGGCTCATGCTGTGCCAGGTGCAAGGTCTGCTGGCTGGGTGCTGGCAGGCTTGCATCTGGCATGGACACCGTAGCCAGACCGTGCCCCTTTAAGGACTCCGGGGCTGGGGGGCAGAAGAGTTTCCCTGGTGGTTCCCAGAGTAGCCACCAGGGCAAGCTGGGGAGGGCTAGCCTCCCACTAGTTCGAATTAAGTGGCCACACAGCCCTTAATTCGAACTGCTTAATTCGAACTAGGCGTTAGTCCTTGTAGAATGAGGTTTACCTCGTTCGAATTAAGCACTCCGCTAGTTCGATTTAAATTCGAACTAGTGGTTTGTCTGTGTAGCCTCTATTAAAGTTAATTCGAACGAACGGCTGTTAGTGGCTGTGCAAAAGACCCGCCTCCCCTGAGCCTTTCTAGCTGAGGGTGGGGTGAGCAGCAGGCTGCAAACTGGAAATTTTCCCACATTTTAAAATTTTTGCTGAATTTTCCAGTTTTGACAGGAGAAAAAGATGGCATTTTTCATGAAGTTCCCCCTTCCCCTCCCCATTTTCCCACCGGCCCCCAGGCAAAAGGAACATTGTAATCCTCCAATGAGCACCCCGGTGCGAGGACTGCTCAGTCCTCCGCTGCAACTGTGCCCTGAAGTCAGGCTGTGTCCTTGGCTTGCTGGTGTCCTACACCCCCTGGGCCAGAGGAGCAGCTCCCTGGGATAGACCCTGGAAGAGCTGTTCTTCTTCAACAACCGGCTGTGAGCACAGTGCGGGCTGGGGTGGAGGCATATCCGCTTCCTCGGTTGTGTCTGAGGGAAGCTGCGCCCGAGCTGTCCGACCAGCAGAACTTCCCCCGGGGCAGAAGGGGGAGAGGGCGGTGCATGTCCCTGGGAATGTTGCTATGGGGCGGCCTGTGAAGAATGACCTGAGACGCATTTTCGAGAGCTTTCCTCTGTTTCCCCAGACAGGGCTTTCTCCTGTCAAGAGGCCAGGACTGAGCAGAATCTGTTTGTGAGGGACGGGGAGCGTTGGAGCCAGCGAGGGATGGATGTTTCAAAGGGAATCCTAAAGGGCTTGTGTATGCTAAGAATTTTCATGAGAAGGTAGGAGGGTGCGGGCATATCATAGAATCATAGACCCATAGGGCTGGAAGAGACCTCAGAAAGGTCATCAAGTCCAGCCCCCTGCTCTAGGCAGGACCCATCCCAACTAAATCAACCTGGCCATGGCTTTGTCAAGCTGAGACTTAAGCACCTCTAGGGATGGAGACTCCACTACTTCCCTAGGGAACCCATTCCAGTGCTTCACCTCTCTCCTAGTGAAATAGTTTTTCCTAATATTCAGCGTGGACCCCTCCCACCACAACTTGAGCCCATTGCTCCTTGTTCTGCCATCTGTCACTACTGAGAACAGCCTCTCTCCATCCTCTTTGGAACCTCCCTACAGGAAGTTGAAGGCTGCTATCAAATCCCCCCTCACTCTTCGCTTCTGCAGACTAAACAGACCCAAGTCCCTCAGCCTCTGCTCATAAGTCATATGCTCCAGCCCCCTAATCATTTTGGTTGCCCTCCGCTGGACCCTCTTCAATGCATCCACATCCCTTTTGTAGTGGCGGGGAGGGGGCAGAACTTAAGGGGTACCTTAAGCTGTGAATTTAAATGAAAACCTCAACCGTTCCCCTCGCAGAGCATTATGGGAAGTGCTATGTAAATCAGGTCCGCCACCCTGGCAGTACCATCCAGGCCTAGTGACGACTCTTCACCATAATGCAATGTGCAGTGCTCCCGCTGCCACGTACTTCTTCTCTTCTGGGGTCCCCTCCATGAGATGCAGCTGCTGTCTCAGTCCCAGACAGACCATCTCGGAGTAACAGGCTCCGATGGAGTAGTCAGAAGGGATTGGAGTCATTTCCACACAGATGTCGCATTGATCTTTACCTCGGGGAGGAAGGAAATGCCTTTTTACAGCAAAAAGAACATACTTTTCTCAACTTATTAAAGCTCTGTTTTCCCCAGTAAGACAGACAGACACATGCACACTCACTTTTCTGTTATTCTCTTAGGGCGCGTCTAGATGACTTTTTTTTTAAGGAGATATGCAAATTTGGCGCTAATTTGCATATCGTCTTCCGGTCGCTTTTTCAAAAGCAGGTCTTTCTAAAGTGAAAGTAGTCTAGGCGCAGTGTCTTCAGAAAAAAACTCTTTTTTGAAAAAACCACTCTTCCTAAAAAAAGGAGGTTTACGCGGTTTTTCGAAAAAGGGTTTTTTTTCCCCGAAAAAACCACATCCGGACTACTTTCACTTTCGAAAGACCCGCTTTCGAAAATGTGATTGGAAGGTATGCAAATTAGCGCCAAATTCGCATATCTCCTTTCTGAAAAAAAAGACCGTAGTCTAGACATGCCCTTAGGGTGAGACTACACAGCAGGGCTTAACTTGAAATAAACTACACAAATTGAGCTACGTCAATTACATAGCTTATTTAGAAACAGCTTATTTCAAAATGGAGTGTCTACACAGTGCTTATTTTGAAATAGAGCACTCCTCCTCCGACTTCCCTTATTCCTCGTACAATGAGGGTTACAGGAGTCGGAATAAGAAGTGTTCCAGCTTGACAGTATTTTGACACTATTTCGAAATAACTGCCTGCTGTGTTGAAACAGACTAAGTTATTTCAGAATAGTGCTAGTTATTTCGAAATAGTGTTGCAGTGTAGACATACCCTCAGGCTACGTCTACATTGGCAAGATTTTGCGCAAGAGTTTTTGCGTTAAAGTATTTGCGCAAGAGAGTGTCTATACTGGCATGTGCTTTTGCGCAAGAGATGTGCTTTTGCGCAAAAGCATCCATGCCAGTGTAGACGCTCTCTTCCGCAAGAAAGCTCCGATGGCCATTTTAGCCATCGGGCTTTCTTGCGCAAGAAATTCATGTTGCCTGTCTACGCTGGCTTCTTGCGCAAGAACAGTTGCGCAAGAGGGCTTATTCCTGAGCGGGAGCATCAGAGTTCTTGCGCAAGAACACTGATGTTCTAGACAGGCAGTATGTTTTGGCTCAAAAGCGGGTGCTTTTGCGCAAAATTTTGCCAATGTAGACACAGCCTCAGAGTAAAAAGTCCTCCAGCCTGACAATATTTCGACATTACTTCGAAATAACTGCCTGCGATGTTGACGTGGACTAAGTTATTTTGAAATAATGTGGCTGTGTAGATGTAGTCTTAGGAATGAACAAAAATCTTCACCCACCCCAATACATCGCATGCACATGCACATGCACAAGGGTCATGTCCAAAATTGCTCCCTATGGCAGTTTGTTGGTGTTTATTGTTAACGTACTCACTGTATTGTGGCCTTTATTGTTTACTGACATAAACCGACACAACTAGTCTATCTTGGGAGCCGGATCTTGCCCACCCCTGCTGAAGAAGTTCCAAACTGGCCCCCCAAGACACTGGATCTAGCCCGTTGGCTGCCAGATCTGGCCCGCAGCAGCCAGCTGCTTCAGAGCAGTCCCACATGGCTTCAAGTGGCTGGCTGCTCCCTGTTGCTCTCTGCTCCAGGCACAGGCAGGAGGGGGAAGCTTCACGGAAACTGGCCAATGGGAGCTGAGAGATTTTGTTGGGGGCGGGGACAGTGCACATAAATCTCTGTCCCAGGTCCCCACCCCCTCCTGCCCCAGGTCACCCCCCCCTCCTGCCCCAGGTCACCCCCCCCTCCTGCCCCAGGTCACCCCCCCCTCCTGCCCCAGGTCACCCCCCCCTCCTGCCCCAGGTCACCCCCCCCTCCTGCCCCAGGTCACCCTCCAAACCTTCTGCACCCACCTCCGCTCCTCCCCCATGCCAAAATCCTCTCCTGCACTCATATCCCCTCCTGGACCCTGCACCTCAAACTCCTGCCCCAGATCACAACCCCCTTCTCCACCCTAACTACCTCTCAGACCTCACATTCTCTCCTGCACCCATGTCTCCTACCCTGAGCTCTCTTCTGCACCCAACCTCTGTCCCAGCGCTCACACCCTTTCCATAGGAAAATGCAGCCCTGGACCCACCAGTACATCTTCCCCCCATCAAAAAGGATCACCCACCTCTGGTCTACAGCCCCCATCACTGTGCTACCAGAGCGTTCCACTATCTTTAACAGACTTCTCCTCACAGCTCCCAGAAAGACAGGGCAGCGCTCTTGTCCCCATTTTACAGCTAGGGAATTCAGGCACAGACAGGATAAGTGACTTGCCCAAGGTCTCCTGGAAGCTTTCCATGAAGTGAATTCCTTCTTCCCACTTAGATTCACAAGCTCCTCTTACTCCTGAATGTGGTTGGCTATGCACTGTGAGGGACTGCCCCCTAGTCTGGCTTCCATTCACAGGAGTGTCGTGAGCAAGACACGAGAAGTCATTCTTCCGCTCTACTCTGCGCTGGTTAGGCCTCAGTTGGAGAATTGTGTCCAGTTTTGGGCACCGCATTTCAGGAAAGATGTGGAGACATTGGAGCAGGTCCAGAGAAGAGCGACAAGAATGATGAAAGTTCTAGAAAACATGAGCTATGAGGGAAGACTGAAAGACCTGGGCTTGTTTAGTTTGGAAAAGAGAAGACTGAGAGGGGACATTAGAGCAGTTTTCAAGTACCTCAAAAGTTTTGACAAGGAGGAGAGAAAAAAATTGTTCTCCTTGGCCTCTGAGGACAGGACAAGAAGCAAGGGGCTTAAATTGCAGTAAGGGAGGTTTTGGTTGGACATTAGGAAAAACTTCCTACCTGGAATAAGTTGCCTAGGGAGGTTGTGGAATCTCTATCACTGGAGATATTGAAGTGCAGGTTAGACAGACACCTGTCAGGGATGATCTAGATCAGGAGTGGCCAATCTGCAGCTCGTGAGCCACATGTGGCTCTTACCCCCGGCAGTGCAGCTTGCAAAGCTGCCCCCATGCCACTGAGAATGGGCCCCGCCTCCTGACTCACCGGGGTAGGGGAGCCGTCTGGTGCATCCAATATGGCACTTCCAATATGGCGGCGCTTCTTAAAGGTGCAGGCCTTTTTTTTTTTTGTTCTACAACTTTGCCCCGGCTCTTTGCGCTAGATCCACTATCTTAGCTCTTCGTCCAGAACGTGATGGCCGCCCCCGATCTAGATGGTGCTTGGTCCTGCCATGAGGGCAGGGGACTGGACTTGATGACCTCTCGAGGTCCCTTCCAGTTCTAGTATCTATGATTCTATGAGTCCAGCATGAGTCCGCAGAACAGCACTGCCTCTCCCACCAAGGGCCTATATCCTAACTGAGGGATGCCCTGATGCCTGGGAGAGTCGTAGGTGTGCTCTTCATGGCACACTGAGTGAGGGGACAGAGAAAAAGACACTAGCTGCTGGCTCTCTGCTTTCTGCCTGTCTGTCACACTACGCTCCCTGCATCCACCTGAGTATTCATCCCGGCAGCTCGCCTCCCTCACAGGAATTGCTCAAACCCACGTTCCCCCGTGGTGTGACGAGCTGCTCTGAGCTAGAATGCTTTTCGGGCAATTCTGAGGCAAGGCGCAGCACGCCAGGTAAACCCACGGAAGAGATTGGTTTTGACCAGCATCTACCAGTGACTTGCCAACTGTCTCGCCCCATGGTGGCTGCCAGCTCTCACTTCCTTTCCCCGGGCAGTGGGCAATGGCTTGTGCAGGATGCTGCTTATTCTTGCAGGTGGTAGCCCAGAAGAGGAGGACAGGTTTCTTTCTGTCAGCCCCAGCATCCCTGGGCCTGCCCTGTGGCACGGCCCTTGCCCCCAGCATGGCAGAGTTCCCATGTAGCTGGGCTGTAGGGTTGGACTCTCTAAGGGATGATGGCTGTGTGTGTGTGTGTGGTCTTCTGCCCTTGTGGATCTGGGTTGCTGAAGTCCTGGTGGGTCTTGGGAGGAGGGGCTGAAGGTTCTGTGGAGCCTAACACTGCTGTTTTCCATGACCTCTTGCTCGAGTCCACAAGTTCTCCACCCCGCTGGTCATGGCAGTGACATGCACGACTCATGAAATCCCCCCCGCTAGGTGTCCTGTTCTCCCCCCCGTCCCAGATCTACTCTGGAGCCATGTGACTTCGAGAGCATAGTCACAGCAAGGAGAATGAAAGGGTCTTTGCT